GTTCGAGGGCCGCTCCTACTCCGCCTGCACCACCGATGGCCGCTCCGACGGCTACCGCTGGTGCGCCACCACCGCCAACTACGACCAGGACAAGCTTTACGGCTTCTGCCCGACCCGAGGTGCGTGTGCCCCATCTTCCACTGGTCCTCTAAACGCGCCTCCTCCACCCATCAGCGTCTCTGCACTTGTCACTGGTCTGCAGGACCGCGGGCACTCTGCCCACCCTCACCCAGCCCCTCCCTCTGCCTTCCAGTTGCCCCTGCCCCACTCACAGCCTGCGGCCACTCCCTGGGCCTCCCCTCCCCAGGCTCACTCGGGGCTCAGCGGCGCCTTACACCGCCCCCTAGGCTTTAACAATGGCACCCAGATTCTCTAGCTCCTTGTTTGGCCCGCCCCTGGGCCCCTTATTGGACCCACCCACCTGCTCACCCAAAGCCCTGGGTCTCTTCAGTGGACTCCACGGTGACCGGGGGCAACTCAGCGGGGGAGCTGTGCGTCTTCCCCTTCATCTTCCTGGGCAAGGAGTACTCGACCTGTACCCGGGATGGCCGCAATGATGGGCACCTCTGGTGTGCCACCACATCGAACTTCGACAACGACAGGAAGTGGGGTTTCTGCCCGGACCAAGGTGTGCAGGGTTCCAGGGTTTGAGGGCTGGGGTAGTGTGTGTGTGTGTGTGTGTGTGTGTGTGTGTGTGTGTGGTGGGGGGTTTGGAGGCAGAAGCTGGGAGTGAAGCCCAGGGCTCAAGTCTCAGGCCCTCTTTTTCCTCCAGGATACAGCCTGTTCCTTGTGGCTGCGCACGAGTTCGGCCATGCACTGGGCTTAGATCACACCAACGTGCCAGAGGCGCTCATGTACCCCATGTACAGCTACACCGAGCAGCCGCCCCTGCATGAGGACGACGTGAAGGGCATCCAGCACCTGTATGGCGGTGAGGTCCCGTGGCAGGGACCGTGGGAGGGAAGGGGAGGTGGAGAATGGGGTGGGAGGAGTTGGGACCTCAACACCTACCTGTGGGGGAGCCAGTGTAATTGCTGCGGGGTCAGTGCTTGGAGCTGGTGATAAAGAGCCCAGAGTCTAGAATGAGACCGTGGTGGGTTCAAAAGCCAGTCCATCCAGAAGTGGGTTAGATTACTTCCTCATTTGTAAAGTGGGGCTAATAATAGTAACTGCCTCAGGGGGTTCTTAAGAGGGTTAAATGAGTTAGAATACTGCCTAGCATATAGTAAGCACATACAAGTGTTTGATATTTTTATTGCCATTATCACTTACCATTAGTATCATTTCCTCATTTAAGAAATGGGGGTATTAAAGAATCTGTTGCATAGGTTTCTCTGTTTTTTAGATCACACAAGCTACGTGTGCGTTTATAGAGCTTTCAGCACTGTTTGGCGCTCAGTCTGAGTGCTCAAGAAACACTTCTCTCCCATCTGCGGGGTTGGGGTTGGGGTTGGGGATGTTCCTGCCTGTCTTATGTTCATAGGGCCCAGCCGGGGGCCTGACCCTCCATAGGATAGACATGGCTTGAATGAAAGGTCAGTGTAGAAAAGGATGGGCCTTCCTGTGCGTGGGGGAAGCTCCAGCATCTGAAGTGAGGAGAGTGAGAAGGGGGAGGGGGGGAGGACACTGGTAGGCTTGGGGGAGAGATATTCCGCAGGCACAGAGGTATGCAGGGTAGGGCGTCTCATCCGGGGTCTCTTTTTAGGCCCTCGCCCTAAACCTGAACCACGGCCTCCAACTACTACACCTGAAACCCAGCCCACCGCTCCCCCGACGGTCTGCACCACTGTCCGCCCCTCAGAGGGCCCCACTACTGGCCCCACAGGCCCCCCTTCGGCTGGCCCCACGGATACCCCCACTGCTGGCCCCACCGGTGCCCCCACTGCTGGCC